GTTTATTAATAATAAATATCATATTTATCCCACTTTGCGCGTATCTACCTATTCTCTAAAGTATATATAATAAATTTATTATATATTTATTGGTTTGTAAGCTTTATAAGAAGTTTTTTTTTTTGTTTTCTAGTAGTATTAAAAACAATAAGTCTTCTTAAAAATTATATGTTTTGATTGGTTAATTGTCACGGGCAATCACGGGTAGATCTACAAAATTAACCAATCATATGAATGTCTTCCTATGAAGTGCAAAAGTGAATAGTACGTTAGTGAAACCATGTGATGCTATTTGTCACCGGTATGTACAATATATAAAAATCGACAATCTATTTTGATTTTTTATAAGTAATAGCATGTGATAATTAGCATCATGTGTTTTCGTCAGGAACACGTACGTACATATGTACGTACACAATATGATCACCATAAAAGGAAGTCATTCATTTGTTTATCTTATTTATACAGGTCACCTGATTTGTTTACATCATATTACGTATAAAATACATAAATTGACAAAATTACATTTTTTAAAATTTTTATCTAAACGCTCCCTATTACAAAATTATTACCACAAGAAATGAACTTCTCCTTATAAAATAATAAACATGGCAAATTATTTTTGTCTACTTTTGTCAAGGTTTGCGAATCCATGTCAAGAGCTTTATCAAAATAATGAAGAAAAATCAAGAAAAACTGTTATAATATTGGTATGATCACATCTAGCCATTCTGATCTTTAATTTTGTATTTACTACTAGTGGATTATGTTTTCTTACAACATAACCTTTTTTTTTAAAGGAAAATTTAAAGATGTTCAGTTAATTGTTAAATTGGTTAGATTTCATAGAACCATTGACCAACATAACTAACAGCAAGAAAAAATCTGATATTGATAAGAATACCTTATTTACATTAGCTAAAAAAATTTTTATCAAACCTAATAAGACAATATTTGATGTCTGGGGGGTTTTTTTTTTTGTAATATTTGATTTTACTCAATATATCAATTTGTATTGATTTATTGCAGTGATAGCGCTTAGTCAAGAACAGGCTCTGTCCTATATTCTGCCACCCATAATGTATCTGGAGGATACTAGTGAGTCTCAAATAACTCAGAATGTAGGCAGCCTATTCCCAACCAACATGAATACCTAGGAAAACTTTTTGACATAGCAAATCAATATAGATTTGACCATGTTTCAAACTTCAACAAGCCAAATTTTACCAAGAATATTGTGATCCGAATAGAGAATAACAGTTATGTCACAATAACTATCAATATATTCTTGGTGCTAAACAATCTTTTGGAAGAAAATTTTGTTTTTTCAAAATAAAAATTTTTTGATTTTATGAATAATGAAAGGCCATGCCACTTATCATCATTACTAGTGTCATCATGATAGGATTTCATCGTTCTTGCAATACTGGTGTTGCAAAATGGAATCTCATAGTTTTTATGGTGTTTTTGGATAATTCTGAAACTTTTTTTTTGACAGTCTATGATATTCTTGAAGTAATTTTATAGTATTCTTGGTTGGTTCTATGCATTTGTAGGTGGTACTACGATATTCTTGGTTACTTTATAGCATTCTTAGGTGGCTTTATAATATCCTTGGGTGATTTTATGTGTTTTTTGGCTTTGCATTTTTGGTTCACAGTATTCACTGGTTTTAGGATTTTTTTTGTTCTATAGTGTTTATTAACTCTATGACATTTTTAGTTGCATTGGATGAGGTATTAGTAGTATTATTATATTAGGTATTGTTTTTTGATTTTTTCACTTAGGTTTTGCGTTGTATTTTTTTGTTTTTTTTCTTACTATAGTAATTAATAAATAAAGTGTTTAGCAGTTTATATCTAAGAAATAAAATTCAGATTAGATTAAAGTTAAGCAATAAAATCTTTTTTGCCAAATTCGAAAGTTTAAGGTTTCAAATTATAGTTTCTAAAACCTTAGCTAAAGCTATTAAATTTCTAATATAATCAGGCTAATATGCTAGCAATGGAGTGGTCAGTTAACTGATTTACTAAAACTTATATGTAGAATTAGACCAATTTTTTTGATATGGATCTATTATTACACAAACAAATATTACTTTTCTCTCGCAGAATTAAAGTAGAATAATGAGACAGATTAAAAAAAGCATGTTTTATAATTTGTCGTGAAGATTTTTTTTTTGTATTTAAAATATTAATAATTTATCTAGGCACTTGAGTTGCTTAAAGGGAGTAAGAGATAAGTGTACTATACCTGATATTGTAGTATGCAGTACAAGAAACTCATGTTATAATTAGACTTCATAGTTGCAATAGCAATTCAAGGACATCATGTTATGATTAGACTTCATAGTTGCAATAGCAATCCAAGGACATCATGTTGTAATTAGGCCCTATGTTTGCCATAGGCAATGCAAGAATATCATGTTTGGCAATTGAGCCTTTCCATAAAAAAAGTCAAAATTTTTTAAGATTTTGTTCAGATTTTTATTATGAAAAATGCTCATTTTTTAAAATAATAATCTGAACAAAATCTAAATAGAATTTTAACTTTTTTTTTATTATAGTTCCAAAGATATAATAGCAGTACAAGGACTTATGATGTGATTAGGCTCCGTGGCTACAAGAATCTCATGTTGTAATCAGAGTCTATAGCTGTTACAGGCAGTACAAGAACCTCATATTATGATCAGGGTCTTTGGCTATTGCAGAACCTCATGTTATAATCAGGGTCTATAGCTATCGCAAGTAGTGCAAGAGCCTCATGTTTGATGATTAAACATCTTAGCTATGATAGCAGTACAAGAAATTATGTTGTGATTAGGCTCCATGGATGCAAATAGCAATGCAAGGATCTTATATTGTAGTTAGGCTATGGCTCATGTTTGGCAATTAACTCTGTAATTATGATAACAGTACAAGGACCTTATATTGTAATTAGGCTCCATGGCTGCGATAATGTATAGAAAAATTGATGAAATACAAGGTAAAAAATTTTATTTAAAGAGATTCTATGAATATTTGTATGTATAATAAATAAACAGAGGTCTATCTGATAGAATTTAAATGGTGCTGATTACTATAACTAATTACTTAATAATAACTGGCACACATTCAAAATGTGCTATAAAAAAAAATATTATAAGGTTTAACTAATAAGACAATATAAGCGATTAACATAAAGTTTACTATTTTTAGTATGTAAATTCAAAATAAAGTTTCATAGCAATGCATACCGATACAAACATCGAATTATGGAATCAAAAGTTGATTTAATTTTGAATCTTATAAATACAACCTGAATATGATAAAAAAGATTTAGAGAGCATGATTAGATCAATCAGATTGAGCAGTTCGATCAGAATGATTAGATCAGATAATTATAAAATTTTTATACAAAAATCATTTCTGTTCTAGTCTAAAAGGAAATATAGCAGATCACGAGTAAGATTGCAACCAATAAATGAGATACCTAACTCTAATCATAAACTTTAGTAGAAATAATCTACTGCATGTTGACAAAAAAAGATTAGAGGAGGGTTAATTTGAGTGATCGATATCCATATAATTAACCAAATTTTCATAGTTAATTGCAACGGTAGGCCTTTTTCAAATAGATTTTTCAGGGGTTTCTTAAAAGAAAACTGCACTTACAAGACTAGGTGCAACCGTTTAGCTATACAAATACTTTCTTGTTTTTTAGTTTTAACTAAAAAAAACAATAAATCTGAGAAGAATCATGCTGTCAAAAACAGCCTTTCAGTTTATTTTTGTAGTTACTATAATGCATCAGAACCTTTGAACCTTTTGGAACCAAAACTCACATACCCACCCAAGATTATAAATTTCTAAAGATGTTAAAATGAAAACTCTAACTGTAAAAGGTATATAGGTATGCATTTTCATGCTTAGATTATTTTGTTTTAAAGAAATCTATTTAAAATCATAATGTAGTTTTATTTTTTAAACTTTTAGAAGATGTTGTCATGCATAATGTAAACACTTTTTAACTCTTAAGAGAGCTTTGTAAAATGCATAATATAGGCTTATTTTAATATTAATTTATATTTAATTATAAGAATTGTAATTTTTTTTTAAAAAAAATATATAAATGCGCGATATACTGTGTATTCAATTTTAAAATAAAGGTTTTAATTATGAATCAACTAAAACATTATAAAATCTTTTTATTTTTAATGCTCAAAAATAAATACAAAAAAAAAACTACTTTGTTACTTAATTTTTGAAAAGCACGAATAAATACAACCAATGCACAACTAAATACAATCATTCTCATTAAAGTAAAACTACCTATTATAGTGAAGACTAGTTTATATAAAAAGCCTAACCTTTTTTCATTGTTAGTATCATAATTGATATAATTTCAGTATTATATGATTCGTTTCAACAAGACAATCGAAAGATATCAAAATAATCCAATCCCAATCACCAGATCTAAAGATTTAATATAGTAATAAAAAAAATCTTCATGCCGATTACTTCACTATAACAAAAGATATTTGTAGCCTAATATCTTGATAAACCTAATAGTATCACAATTAATGTAATTTGGCATCATAAGATTTGTCTTAACAAGACAAATTGAATAATACTAAAGATTTAATTATTCCAGCCTGATCACTTCACTAAAAAAAAAACTTATAAATATCTATCATGTATGCTATGGCTTCCAAACTACAAAAAATTGTACTTAAAAAAAAATTAGTAGTATTATTAATTTACCAATTCTTAAAAAAAAAATATATAAAACAAAAAACAAACTATAGAAGAATTCTTAAATGAAGTTTCATCTGACTATGAAGAGGTTTATAATGACTTTAGCCAAGAATTAAGTGCAAACTTTGAATTTGAAGCAACAAATAATAAAACTCTTATATTTGATCAGAATTCATTAGAAAAATTGAAGGATATCATATCTCAATTGATTGATAAATCTGATAACAAACTATTTGAAGGTGATAAAAAATTTTTTCAAAGTTATGATAAAGCAGAAATTGAAGATTTTAAAGAACTAATTCCTCAAGCAGCAAGTTTTAATATCAATTTAATATGTTGTATTATTATTGATAATGATAATAATGGCAACATAATTCAAAGATGTATCAAATTAGCAAATTGTTCTTTAAGACAACTATCTGGTACATGGGAAATTAATTCTCAAGTTGCACAAGGAGTTAGAGATGATATTTCAGCACTAAAAATTTGCTTGCATAATCTAAATTATGATCAAAAAACTGTATATAAATTTAGTTCAAAAGATCTATCCACTGAAGAAAGCATATAAATCCATATTGCTGCCTATTTTGTAATAAAAATAAGTATTTTTTTACAAGAGGTAAAACATGCGAAAAACATACTTGGAAAGTATGTAACCACACAATTCAAGTCCCATATCTTGGATTGTTCCAGTGCCCGGCGATGACTAAATATGAGAAGCTATTAGAAAAATTAAAAAAATCATCTTATGATGATAAAACTTATTTCATTTGCTCTGATTGCTTTGTAAAAAATATTAAACACTTTCCAATTCAACCAAAAACAGGATTTAGTCAACCTTTATGTATAGAATAGGACAACACAAGGCTGATACCATGTTGGGCTTGAAGTTTTTTGCTAACTGGATTGAGCAAAATGCTAAATCTGGAGATGATTCTATAAAAGAAAATTTCAAAAAGAATTAATTACCCTTTTTAATAATTTAACAAATATACCCAAAGTGCAAAATTCAGAAAATATAAATGATGCATCTTCAATTCCAAGCTATTTTTTAATAAAAAAAGCATTTTTGGTTAAAAAAGTCAAAGTTGATGAAAAACAAGATTCTCTATTAAAAACCTCTACATATCTAACTTTTGAAAATATGCTTGCTAATTACATATTTCAAGAATAATCTGAAATAAAAAATAAATTATTGTTGCGTGAAGGTTCCAAATCCTTAGACAAATACTATCTAGCTATACCATCGTCTCTTGTCAATTTTTTTATAGTTTAATTTCAACTATAAAAGAAAAAAAATTGCAAGTATTGGCTAGAAAAAGAAAAGAAAGAAATATGCCTCTTTACAGTTGAAAAGAAAAAATATTAAACTATTTTCTTCTTTTTTTGCCTCTATAATACTTACGATTGCTTTTTCTCACTGGAAAATATGGCTTATGCATGTTCTTGCTTCTCTTTGTCAGTGATCAAAAATAATAGGAATTTTGTACAAAATACATTACACAGTTCAGGTAATAGCATACATAAGAGACCATAAAGTTTGCATCCAAAAAAAAGATATCTGCTACAAAACCTCAGTTAAGATTAAATAAAAATTAAAATGTTTTAAATATTGTAGCTATAAATAATATCAATATAAAAGATGCGACCTTTCAATATGATAATATTTTTGAAGCAGTTTGCAAAACTGCATACATGACAGTAAAAATGGTCTTTCAATTTCAATGTTTGGAACTTGTCAACTTAAATGGTGATTTAATAGAAGATTATCTTCTTTTTAGTATAAGTTCTATTATGAAACAATGGCAAACAGAAATAGATTTAGTTTTTGATCAATTAGTTAGTCAAAAGCAGATTTTTA